GGTTTACAAAATTGACCAAAGACTTAGCCAACTGTGATGAAAAACTTTCAAAAGATCAGCTGATAGTAGTTCTGTTAAACTCCATTAGTACAAATATAGAGACATTAAGATTTCTCTATAATATGGTAGGGTAGAGATCATAATGATGAAATCATTAATGCACTAAGAAATAAGGCTCTCGAGATTAAATCTGAATCAAAAGAAAGTCATAGTGGAGACAATCTGTTAGCAAAGGGAAAATGATTTAGTAAACCTAATTATCACTCAAAAATTTTAAATGAGAACAAGAATAAGTGGAGTGATAAGAATAAATCCAAAAATAAGGCAAAAGGCAAGAAATGCTATTGTTGTGGAAACCTGGGTCATTTTGTCAAAAAATGTTATAAGAAGAAAAATGAATCAAGAGAAAAGAAATTTGATGTTGGGAATACTACCTTAGTCTGTAACACAGGAAAGCATGAAGATGGGTTGGTTTTTGTTAACATTGAAAAGAAGTTAAGTGATGAATGGATACTTGATTCATGCTATTCTTTTTGTATGTGGACAAATAAAAATTATTTTTCTTGAACTTGAAAAAGTAACTGGGGGCAAGTTAATAATGGGGAAAAACATGACCTGTAAAGTTAATGGAATAGGAATTGTAAAACTATTACTTGAAAATGGTAATATTCTATTTCTGAATGAAACAAGACATGTTTCTGATTTAGAGAGAAATCTTGTGTCTCTAGGCACGTTAGATGTCATGGAGTTTGATATAAAATTGGGTCAAGGACGTATTAAGATTTTTAGGGGCACTGATTTGATTATTAGCACTCATAAGAGTCTATTTTTTGAAAGCTAAACATTTACTTAGTTTGATTGCAACTGCTTTGACTAAAAATTTTACTTTCGCAAAGTTAGGCATGAAAGACCTAGCCACATTGGCAAGAAAAGTTTAATGTCCTTACAAAATAAAGGAGTTTTAGAAATCAAAATCTTGGTGATATTGGTTCTTTTGAACAATGTGTAATAGGCAAGCAAGTAAAGTTATTTTTCTTACCTGGAATTCATAAATCCAAACAAATACTTAAATATTTGCATGCTGATCTATGGGGCCCTTATACTGTGTGTACATTAATTGGTTATAGATATTATCTTCTGATCATTGATAATTTATCTAGAAAAATTTGGATTTTCTTATTAGAATAAAAAAATGAAACTTTTCAGTTTTCAAATATTGGAAAACACAAGTTGAAAATCAAAGTGATTATAAGATAAAAATTCTAAGAACTTACAATGATTTGAAGTTTTGCAACTATGGATTCAGTAATTTTTGTAAGAAGCGTGGTATAATAAGACATATAATTATTACTTAAGCATCTCAACAAAATGGAATAATTGAAAGAATGGATAAAACTTTACTAAACAATGTAAGATGCATGCTTTTAAGTTCAGGTTTACCTAAACTGTTTTGAGGGGAAACTGTAAAAATCGTTGCATATCTTTTTAATATAACCCTTACTAGTGCTTTGAATTTTGATGTTCTTGAATCAATTTGGTCCAAAAGTCATGTTAACTGCTTTCATTTGAAAACGTTTGGTTGTACTGCTTATGCTCATCAAAATATTGGTAAACTAGAACTTAGATCATTTAAATGTGTTTTGTAGGTTTGGTGAAAATGTTAAATATAGTTAAAAGTGAAAAAGGATATAGGGCAATAGTTAGAAAATATGTCATTCTTTAATGAATATATTATATGATGTCTAGAAGGAAAAGAAAATAACTTGCCAGAGAAAGATGCTCAAATTGAGGTAAAGACCTCTCAAAATGAAAGAGAAACTCATGAACCTGTGGTGGATCAATTTGATTTTGATGAAAATGTTATCTTAACTGAAAATGAAAACAATGAAGAAACTGATTTTATTAATCAATCTGATCCTGCAACTCTTCCCCTTGATGAATATAACCTCATAAGAGATAGGGAGAGAAGGCAGATCAGACCCCTTGCCAGGTTTTATTGTGATGATAGGGTTTCAATACTTACTTATCAAGATCAATTTGAAAATGAGCCTAACTTTTACGATGATACTATTAACTGCAAAGATGTCAAAAACTGGAAAGCTGCCATGGAAGATGAAATGTCTTCACTTTTAAAAAATAAAACTTGGGAATTGGTTGAAAGACCTAAATGTCGTAAACTAATTGATTGTAAGTGGATTTACATGATAAAAGAAGGTGAGAGGGAAAGTAAAAGTATTAGATATAAAGTTAGACTTGTAGTTAAAGGGTTCACACAAAAGGAAGGTGTTGACTATACTGAAATTTTCTCCGCTGTAGTTAAATATGTCACTATCAAATGTATTCTTGCTCTTGTTGTTCGATTTAAGTGGGAATTTGATCAATCAGATGTTAAAACTGCTTTTCTTTATGTGGATTTAGATGAGAAAATTTATATAAGGCAACATGTTGGTTTTATTAAAGGGGATTCTGAAAATGTTATTTGTTTGTTAAAGAAATCCTCATATGGGCCTTTTCAGTTTGCTTTCTTTCCCTGTAGAATGATGGTTTCTTGTATAGTTTAATACACAATAGAATACATAATTCCTTTCTAAAAACTCTCTCTTTTTCCCAGCTTCTTTTACTCTTTCTTTTTCTTAGTTCCAACATGGTATCAGAGTTTTCTTGAGTTCTGGCTTGGTTAAATTTTGACTTTATTTTCTTCTCCCGTTTGGTGCAAACAATGTCTTATTCCGACGCCATCGACCTTCATCAACCACCGTCGTCGACATCTTCGGTAACCCCTCACCTACCCCAACCAGATAAATTGGTTAGCATTATCATTTTTCTATTTTTGGCTTCTTTAAATGATAGTGCTCACCCATAGAAATTGTTTTGGATGGCACAAACTACAATGTTTTGGCCCAACAAATGTACAATATTTCATTGTTTATTGTGGCATTTTGTTATCAAAGAAAAAATATCCCCTACTTAAATTGAAAAGAAACCCGTTGAGGAGTTTGATGAGTACCTTGAAGAATGGGAAGGAATTCAAATGGTTTATTAATACTTTTGTTCTTTCTAAGTTTCTGAATACCAAGCCCACTTAGAATCTTTGAGCAAATCGATACAATTGCTCTAGCGATGGTGCTCTCCAATTTTAGTTAGAATCTAAGCTTTATCAGATGCGTCAGAAGCCTTATCAATCTATTGCTGAGTTTCACTTTAAGGTATGTGATCTTTGGAATCAACTCCCTCATTCAGATTCATCATTTTCTGATAATCAATCTATTAAGCTTTTTGCTGATTATCGAGATCTCTGTCAATTTATTCATTTTATGGTGAATGTTTGATATGATTTTGAGCATACCAGGGCTTCTTTTCTTCATTGCTCTCCTATGCCTACGCTTGAGGTTGCTTTCACAAAGCTCATTTTCATGGAGATGCTACTGATCTGGTCATGGCTATTGTTCCACTATTGTACATGCGACGATTGCTTTCTCTAAACCACATTGGTCCTTCGGAAAGTGCCACTATTATAAGGAAAAAGGTCACCGCATTTCTAATTGTCCGAAGAAAAAGACAAGAGGCTTGGCCTTTCACAGGCCTAATACTATATCTGCCTCCAGTTTGTTGACTTTTGACTTCTCTCACGTACCTCATTATCTTCTCTTACGGCAACTAACCTTAAGAAGGTCATCAACCAGGTCTATCCCATGCTTCACTGGCTTATCCATTTCCTCATGTAAATCCACTTCTAGGTTCATCGACTTTGTTTAATGCTCAATGACAAAAGAAATGAAATTTAATGACAAAATTGTATACTAACGATCATGAAATTAGTTGTTAATTATATTTTTTTGAGATCAACTTAAATAAAATATTTTATTGTCGACAACAAAATTTTTTTGTTACGTAAAAATATCTACAATCACATTTTGCTCATATAAATGTGAATTAACAAATTTTTTTTGAAGAATGTCGCAAAGCAAATTTTCGTCTGCTAAATGGATCGAATTATCGGATCGGATATCCGATAACATAACAAAACGAATATAGATTTAATAATTAAATATCCGTTAGATAATCGGATCAGATATAGACATATCCGGTCTATATCTGATCCATTTACAATCCTACTTTTAAATAAGAAATTGTAGTTAGGAGTGTGGAGTTAAAAAAATAAATAAATAATTTATATTTATTAAAAGATGTGATTAAAAACAAAATCTAACAAAATTATAATTTTAGAACAAAAATTTGCAATAGGGAGCTTAATTGACCATGGAAAAACAAATGATGACAGTTTAATGGAAATAACATGCTAACTAGAAACTACCGCCACATTTTTTGTCTTGTCTTGCCGACTAATGTCCACATAAATAAATAAATAACATGCACAACTGAGACACGTCACCAATGTTGGTAATCTAAAATAGTCGAATGCTAAGTGCACATTATTTGATTGACAACGTAGTTTACATCTCATTGAAGTTCAAAAAATTGTCGGCAGTGTGTTGTCAAGTAACACAATGTAAAAAATAACTTTACTACTTCAAAAAATATTTATTATTTTTTCTACCTTCTTTTCGAATTATTATATTATTTTCCTTTATTAAAAATTGAAATACTTTGAATTTATTTAATTATAGAGAGTAAGTTTGATTCTCCAAATTTGAAGAGCCAGAATTACTCTTTAAATTAAAATACTAATTTAAAAAATATTCTGGAGTACACTTTAAAATAAAAAGATCTTATATTTAAATAGTTTCTTGATTTTGCTTTTGCACCTATCTTATTCAAAAATTAGAATACTATCTTATATTGACATGCACCTATCTTATATTGACATGCATAATTGAGACTTCTTATTCAATATTTTTTTGAGTGTTGAGTTTACTTCCTGGTGATGTAAATGAGGTCTTTTCTCGTCTATAAAATAAAATATCCTCCTCCACCATAATCCCATCACTCTGGAAAACAGGAGCACTAGTACTGACTCTGCCTCCACCGCCGGCACCGCCATGCCTTCATCCTCCGCTCCTTCCTCACCCAAAGAAGTTATCGTCAAAATCGACGGCCAGGATTCCTTCACGGAACCAACTAAAACCAGCGAAAATACTAGTACTACTACTAATGCCGGTAGACTGTTGAGGGACTCGAGTTACGATTTCTCAAACGACGCCATTATGAGTGCTGCCGTGAACAACAAGGATTTCGATTTCGTGACCGAGCCTCCCCTATCTCGTATAGCAGAGAGTGTGAGTACCAACTACGGCCAGAGGACGCCGAGGGAGGTCCGCGTCCCGTTTAACGACAACACGGCGGAGACGGCAGCGGTTAAGGGCTCAAAGCGCAGCTCCAACGCCGAACTGGAGGAGGTTCTGGTCTGCAGCTCCAACTCATCTTTCCGGAGAAAATCCAGTTTGCTTAGAACCAAAACCAAGTCCCAATTATTCGACCCGCTGGAGAACAATAAAAAATCCTATAATCAGAGAACCACAAAATCTCTGTCTTTAGGTGAAGGAAGTGAAATCGATGAAGACGACCCTTTTCTAGATGAAGATTTGCCGGAGG